GGCAACAATGAGGCTATTACAAACACACATAACCATTCGAACAATGAGGCTACTACAAATACACATAATCTCTGAAACAATGACCTGTCATACGTGTTGTCGTGACTATTACAAGCACACACAACCTCTCGAACAATGAGGCTACTACAATCACATAACTTCTGAAACAGTGACCTATCATACGTGTTGTCATGACTACTACAAGCACACATGACTTCTCGTACAATGAGTCCATTACAAGCACACATCACACATTTAGCCATACTTGAGGTTCGTCATTGGTGGTGGGGCTGGCGTCTCGGTATTCAAACCACGCCAGCAGAGTTAGCAACCACGACAGTGTGAGCATGAAGAATATGGACCATAGTACAGTCCAGACAAAGTTCTTTCCACGCGCCTTCAGTAGCACAGCTTCACTGTGTGTGCGCACGCGGAACAGGGGTAGGGGTAGGGGTAGTATGTGATGGGGGAAAAACCAGGGTTTTAGTAGGGTGTTACATGTTTGTGAATTGCACAGAAACACGGCTTCACTGTGTTTGTACACACGGAACAGTGGTAGGGGTAAGTAAGGTAGGTGGTAGGGGTAGGTGTAGTAAGTGATGTAAAAAAATAGGGCTTAATAGGATGTCCCATGAATATAAATTGCATGAAAGCCATCAGATGGTATTTCGTACTTGCTTGTCGAGTTGTTTAGACACACTTATATGTAATGTCATGTGTATGAGACTCTGTACCAACTGAAGACAGTGGGGTATATGATATACATAACACCTACTAACAACAAACAACAAAAGCTCAATGGGAAAAGGATCAACAAGAGATGGGGTAAGTCACGGGTAAGGTACACCGGTGCATAAACACACAAACACACAACACCTGTGCATAAACACACAGACACATAACACCTGTGCATAAACACACAGACACACACAACACCTGTACATAAACACACAGACACACACAACACCTGTACATAAACACACAGACACACACAACACCTGTGCATAAACACATAGACACACACAACACCCGTGCATAAACACATAGACACACACAACCAGATAGATGAACAAAAGATGTGCTGAGCAAAAGGGGTGTCACACCACATACGAATACTCGAAGCAAGCGGCAGAGTAAACGGCCCACACCACCAGGTTCACCGCCGCAGCCACGGACGTCAGGATGATGACTACGTCATCATGAGATCCCATTGCCATGGCAACGATCAACAGGGGAGAGACTAGCAACAAGGAGAATACGAGCACAAAGGGATAGGCTTTAGTGGACAGTCGGGAGGCCTCCTGGCCCTGTTCACGTAGATAGTCTTGTTTGACCTTTACATTGCTGAAGGCGTGTAGGTCTATCTGGGTTGCAGAGGAAGAGCAAGGAGCGGCGGATACGGAATGAGGATTTGAGTTCGATATTTTAACGATAAAAAACAAACAAACATGAATATATGCTAATAAGGCGGGTGAATATATTGTCGTTCCCATTTGCATTCAGTGTGAACATGCGATAGTAGGTTTACATATCAATCTGAAAGAGAGATTATGGTAAGAACAGGTCAACGAAACAACCACCACCATGACTATGAGCATAAACACTTACACCCTAACAACAGCAATTCTGTGACGACTTATTACTTAACACATAGAGAATATACATTCGTGGAGAACTGATCTTAAATTACTCCAAAATCAATATATTTATATATATATTCATATTATATATATATATATATACGTAAATATATATATATATATATACATATATATATATATATATGTATATATCTATATACTAATATATATATATATATAAATAATAATAATAA